GGCCCTGCCGTGCGGCGCCACGCCGCGCTTGCGCCGGGCGTGCTGGTTGTGTGCAGCCGAAAGCGGGTCGCTGCAGGGCCTGGTAGAGGGTGGCGGCCGGTTAAGTTGGCTGCGGACCTGCAGCGGGGGGCTCGGGGTCTCCTGACATCCCGTCTCTCTTCCCTCTGCTTCTGTTCGCCCGAGGAAGAGACGAGTCTTGTATGACATCTTGACGGTAGAACGCCACTTGGTTGAGGACCTCACCCAGGAACGATAATAGGTGGTTCCAGTTTGTCCCTTTGATTTTTTTTTTCCTTTTGATTTAAATCAGGCTTGGTTGCAGATGATGTGAACACGGAGCAGTGCTTGGGGTTTGAGAGGTGAGTTTAGGCTGAGGAGCCAGGTTAGTACTGCTGGAGACTGAATTTTTCCAGGGAACATGTGCGGAAGAGTCTTATGACAGGCTTCCTCACTGCTCACATGAGGCTTTTCCTGCGAGTGCGTCGCGCTTGAGTTGCAAGGGCGTAGCTGCCCTGAGGAAGGGCGCTGCTTTCTGTGAACGTACTGTCCTGTTAGCGCTGGTCTTGAGCTCTTCCTTGATGCCTGCAGCCAGGATTTCCTCAACTGCGTTGTACGTGTTGTCCTGGCAGCGTGGTGTCTTAGAGCACAGAAACTCCAGTTAACGTTTGCCAGTGCAGATTCCAGAGCAGGAGTCGTATTTCTACATTAGTAGGTGTGATGTTGCTATTTTATTTAACTTATTCTTTCAATGGTCACTGCGCTTCAGATGTTGTTTTGCTTTTAAAATCCTGGTAGAGAAGATACTTGGCCTAAGTGATTTTTTGAAGATGTGTAGTCTCGTGCTCTCTTTCTCTCCATTCTGTAGGAAAGCTACACGGATAATTCCGCACGGTATTTTCTTGACAGCTTTCGTTATGGTTGTTTTACAAAGAAGAAAAAGGAAATCAGTTAGTCCTTCTCTGTTATTAGAACAGCCTCTCTTGATATCTGTTACAAAAGCTACTGCTCTTAAATTTCAAGGCTGCGTAACTTGTCTTTAGAAGGATTTGGCCCATAATGTTCAAAAGGACGTGTGGCTATATGCTCCTAGTTGACTGCTAATTTGCTTTTGCAGACAACCTTCAGTGCTTTCAGTCTGAATGGTTAGTATTCATATACAGGACACTGAAGCCCAGTCCCAGAGCTTTTCAGGACACATGCTGTATTTACGTAATACTGTTCTGTTCTTTTGAGATCCTCGCTTTTCTGTAGAACCTCAGTGCTCTTGAGGCCTAACAGAAACTCTTCTGAGAGGCTAGCCTTAAAGGAACGAGCGGTGAGGAGGTATCGATTTCTCTCATTGTGCGTTTAGAAGCTTTGTGGAGCAGCAATTTCAAACTTGTGTAGGGGCAGTGTCAGGAGAGTGCACAATATATGAGAGGCCTGCGTATGTGTACGTTAAGGATGGAGAGTTGGCTTGCTGTCGCTTCTTGCCTAGATGGGTATTGGTTTTTGAAAGGTCTTATTTCAGGAATGTGGCATGGTTGGTGCTCCCTTCTGTAGGTTTTTCATCCTCTTGATATCCGTTTTCCTGGTTTGACAAAAAGCATGGTTAAGCTGCAGTGGCTGAAGGTCAGCTCCTCAGCGTGCCTCTTCCGTGCAGGCTACAACATCTTCCATGTACGCTGTTATTTCTGGAACCTCCTTGAAGATATGCATCATATCTTCATCCTTCCATGCTTTCAGTTTCTCCTCAAAACAAACTACTTATTTTGAGTCACTTTTATAGGGCACAGGAGAATAGCACAACCATTCAGTTTCATCACTTGCATGTAATCACTTGCCCGTGTAATTTTATCTCCATCATCTCCTTCCTGTCAGCCTCCTGTTTTTGTACTTGTCTCCTTTGCTGTAATCTAATAGTAATAGCATTTTAGTTTTGGTTACTGTCTTCTGGGCAGGTAGGAGTTTAATGGGAGTCTTGCTATTTGGTTTGGTTTGGTTTTGGTTTCTTTTTTTTTTTTTTTCCTTTTTTAAGTGCAGCATATATTAATAGTAGTAGCATGCTACCACTGTTGTTTTGAGTGTTAGTGACCAGCTCTACAGCTTGTTTTAAAGTACCACAGCAGCATAATCTCAAAAAGCAGTCAGCCAGGCTAATTTTAAACACAAAGCCAAAAAAATACTCCCCAAACGCTCAGCAAATTTCAGGGCACAGAATGTGGTTCCCGTTGGCTTCTGTGGGCTGCCAGTCAACTGCAGGTCTCGTCGCATGGGATAAGCTTTACGCTATTAAGGAACGTTTTTAACGCAAATATGTCTTATGAAAGGCTAAATGAAATTGCATTGGAAATATTTAGTTATTATGTGGTTACTAAAACTGTGGGTTGGTTATTAGTTTTGGTGTTTAGTGCAGCCTTTGGGAATCGCTTTCAGTGAAGAAGAAAACCCTCTGGAAATCATGCCCTGTCCTGCCTCGCGTTTCATTATTGTAATGTGGTTTAATTAGCATAAATTTTTCTCCAACGGAAAAATATGCCCTGCAGCATGAGGTGGGGTTAGCCAACAAGAATACGACTTGCTAAGGTAGCAAAGTTAGTAACATGATATAATCGGTTTGTGTTTGTGAGAGTATTCCTGTCCCGAGCCTCATACTCTTGGCCTCTTATCATGCGGTTTCCCATTGTACTGCTGGCTAGTCATGAGGGTTTCAGGGTCTCAGCCTTTCTCGGGATTAGGTGCAAGGTCAAAAAGAGTGTGCGTAAGGGGTTTGGAGGGATGCGTACACACACACACACACACTCGTTGGAGGGATGCGTACACACACACACACTCACTCACTTTTTTTTCATAACAGGTGAGGAGACGTAGTGTTTTAGGTGGGAGTATGATGACTAGCTTTTGTGAGGGACATTCCCATGCTTTTTTTTTTAGCTACTGATTTGAGTGTTTGCTAATTTTATGATATTGTGTGCGGAATAACAGCCATGAGCACTGTGGATGGATGTCTCAAAAAAGGTGACTTATTACTCACTGGTTGGAACTTGTGCTCCAATTACATTAAGGTATGTTGAGATTTTCCCCAGTGGTGAGGGTAAGCTGAAACTTGAATTTATTCCCCTGTAGCATTCCTGGTTAAGATTAATTAAAATATGGTCTTAATAAACTAGTAGTCATTGGACTACACTAGCAGCAGGATCCTGAATAGGCCTTATAACTCAGGCATGAGAGATGCAGTCATGCCTGGTTTTCTATGTTAATAGCCTTCCTAGTCTACATGTAATTCCAGCATTACAAAGCTATGTATCATGATGTCAAATTTCATTTGAAATGAACTGTTAGAGACAGAAGATTGCTGACCTGTTGCTTGGAAAGGGGCATGATGAGATCTTCAGCGTCACAATTAGGTACTAGAATAGCTGAGAGCTGTGACTCCATATGGAGACCTGACTTTCCTGATAACTATTTCATTGAAGTTATTCATAGCACTGCAGTACTTAGTAAGCACGACGACCACTTGTATGGAAAAAAAAAAAAGAGTCCTTTAACTCTGCTGTATCTGGCAGTTAATGCAAAGTTACTGACTCCATACAAAAAGTAATTTATATGTACGGGCATCTCTTATAAGATGCAGCCTTTTCGGAGCAAATTCATTTCCATAATGTGAGTACTGAACCATAAACTTGTTCCCCAGTGACAGACCTATGTAATTTCTAGGCGATAAGTGCTTTTGACAAACTCTCTTGAATTGTTCTGGTGTTGGGGCTTATGCTTTCCTGACCGGGTGCGTAGGTTGGTAAACTAAGGCTATTCGTTGCTTGGCTAGCCCTGTAGCCTGTAAGGATTTCTTAAGGGTCTGGTTTAAAACAAAAAAAAAACAACCAAAAACTGATCACAGAGGTTTCCTTCCAAAATCTGAAGTGGTTGCAATAGTCAAAGAGTAGATTGTTGACCGTGGATTAGAGCTGATAGCAAGTAGCTAACCAAACTTTGAGTTGCCTGTGTGGTGGGGGCGGGAGGAAAAGCAATAGCAGCTTCTTGGGCCCTTATACTGACACCTTATTGTAAGTGAGAAATGACAGGCACAAATGGCATGTGCAGCCAGACTTAAAATAGCCCCTCACCAATCCCCTGGGAGCTTTATTAGTCTCCTTATATGTCCTGCTGCACATGCTGCTGCTTTCTGAGAGAGGAGGGGATGCCAGTTCCCACCTCAGGTATGGCGCATCTAACAGAGTACATAGTGTTTCCTCTGAGGCCTCCTAACGTTCCCTTTGAAAATACAAGAGATTGGAAAAATCTGTAAAATTTATTTTTTTTGTTAAGTACGCTCTTCAAACTGATGTTAATAATACTGTCAGGCAGCTGTGACTGAGTATTTGTATTGGTCTGTCAGTTAAAAGGAAAGGAAAAAAAGCAACTACTCAGGTGAGCCTTTGGCAAGCATTGCAGAAAAAGCTTGGTGTTTTTCTTGATCACGTTTTCACTCGAGCTTTCTTTGTTTCTTGCGTATAGGATTGCCAAATGCTTTTAAATCAACTGAGAGAGATAACAGGAATTCAAGATTCAGCCTTCCTTCACGCAGCTCTAAAGGTTTGTGTATGTTGTTGTTGTTCTTCTGAAAGAAGACCTCTGATTCTGCCCCAGAAGTTAGGCAAGTTCAGGCTCTCTCTAAACATAATTCTTGGGTCAGATGTTTGTTGGCATTTTTATGGGTTGATAATAGGCTATTTCTTGCCAAAATAGTCAGTGTGTGTCTCATGAAAGTGATATAGCGTATGCTGCATGGAATAATTTCATTCACGGAAGAGGTAGGGATAATTTATGATCCACTATTTTTTCCACCCCTAACTGGTGCTTAATTCAGATATACCCATGAGGGAAACAGATACACGAGTCCAGCGTTTGTTGATTTCAGGAGGGAACACAATTTGGAAGTTAATAGGCAATTATTGACTCAATTGACTCTGAAGCAAAAAGTCCACAGTGAGTTGAAAACCTTTCATTTTTTCTAACAGTAGATCTCAAAACCTGAGCTGTAGTAGCATAGGCCATGTTAAAACATTGTGAACGTTTCCTGGTAGTTTTTGCTCCTACAGCAAAACTGTTATTCATGCAGAGCAAGTTTCCCCTACGTGAACTGTTTTGGGAGTTCTGGACAGTTGACATAACATCTGTAGCTTTGTGACTTGTGGTTAGCTCATCAATCACCAGCACAGTCATCTTTGCCCTAAAGTAAAGGGACACAAGAATCTCAGATAGTTGGAGAAGCAATACTTATCTGGAAAGAGTCCTCCTCGTAATGCAGATCTTGATATTTATAAATTGCAGGAAGAAACTCATTGCAACTGCATTAGTCTGGAATCACCAGACACCAGTTTCTTGAGATACATCAGTAGGAAATTGGTTGTGTTGATTGTACACAAAGAGACTTTTTTAAGAACATTCTTAAATGCTTCATTAGAAGGAAAGATGTCTAGAAAATGTGAGAATAAATTTAAAGGAGTTTATCTCGGGACACTTATTTTATTCTTTAAAATGAAATACAAAATTAACACGTTTGAGCTCTTTCTGGAGTGAGCTATGATCAGTGTTTCCATGTCCTTTAGATATCATGTGCTGCATTAAGTACAGGAAAAATAGTGTGCATAGCCCGAGTGATGGTCTGAGAAAAGCAATAGTGTTACCATTGAAGAAAGCCCCAGTTCAGTAAGACATCTTGAAGGTCTTGACATTCATGAAGAGTCTGATTCCTGTGAGTCTCTCTGTGGTGAAGTACCCCGTTGCACTTCAGACCTGCAATTGTTCCGGTCTCTTACAAGGGAAATGAGTTAATGCAGTCTGTATTGTCCTAGTAATAAAGCAAAAATGCTTTCTGTCTGAGAAAGCGCTATTTCACTTTTTTTTGTTTGTTTTTTTTTCTTTTTTTTCCTTCTACTTGTCACCAATAGATAGCTTTCTCCGGTGGCCAGAGAAAGTAAAGTTGGTGCCAGTGTGTCTGTGTCTACCATGGATGCATTAAATTTCATACAAATGCAGATGAGATAACCCTGGAACTATGGATTTTTTTCCCTTGTGTTCTGCTAGGCTGCTAATGGAGATCTAATGGAAGCAGTCAGCTTCCTCACGGAGGAGCATGGTCAGGAGCCTAATCAGAGCACCGCTGCTGCAGAACCATCTGCCTGGGAAGGGAGTGCTGTGGGCAAACAGCTTCCACCAAGTAAGTAGTTTGTCTGTGTTCACACTGCATTACCTTAAGGTTTCGTGGGTCAGCTGAGCTGAAAGGGGAAGTATTGTTCCTCCCAGCTCCTGCCAGTTAATCCCCCCTACTCTTGTCCTAGTACTCATTCAATTTTGCTAGTGCTTGTCACTTGCAGTGGGATAGTTAGGCAAGTAAACCAGCAAAAAAATCTTTTTTGCAAGATTATTTTTTGGCCACGATAATCTCCTTGAACGAGCTCACCTCTGAGTCAGGTGAGCGCCACAGTTTAAGGAGAGGGAATGGGGGTGCACATCTGCAGTGAAGTCTGTGAGGTACGGGGACTGAGCTGAGTCCCTTTGTTATGGCAGTCTTACGGCTCTGGGTGGCTGAAAGGTGTTTCTTAACTTTGTCTAGTGTTTCCTGGTGAAGGACAGTTGAATCCAAAAGGAAAGCAACTCAGTCCTGTTCACCTTGAAAATCAAAGCAACTAGAGTAGACAGACCGTTGAAACCCAAGGTGAAATGTTGTGTGCCTTCCTCATCCCTGTTTTATCACTGCTACCCTAAAATGATCTGTTAGGAGTGATTTCTGAAATAAGTGTTTGCCCACTGCTGCTTTTTTAGCCAGGTAGACTCCCTGTCTGGCTGTAAGGACACGCCAGAGCTGCTTTTTTTTCCAGAGCCTGGTTATCTGAGAGCAAAGACCCATGCTTTTAGAACCGGTAGATGAAACGAATTTTTTCAACTGCCAGGAGGGGCTTACTTCATCCCATTTCAGCAGCTTTTGGTGCCAGACAACTAGTTTTGTCTAGTATTACTGCCTAGCTAAAGCACTACTGTTGACTGCTAGAACACGCAGACAAAGGCAAAAAAAGATTCTGGCAGCTGGGTTATTTGAGCTAGCAATTTGATTACTTGAAAATTATTTTTATAAGTACTGGTATTGACAAAAGTAGGCTGTCAGCTTGGTACATTTAAATGTAAAAAAGTGGAATTGTAGTCAGCAGTGATTGAAAATAATTTCTTTAGAACTTTAATTTTGTTAAAGACACCTAGTCTATCAGCTGAAACTCTCCCAAGTGAATTTATCACTGAACAGATTCACAAAGCCAAAAATCTGTGCTGGGAGCTTAGAGAGTTACACCTAGAACTGTTCAGCTTCCCTTTATCCTACTGTTTAAGGCTTCCACCTGTTTCAAAACTAATTTTCCTTTCTCCTTCCCTACGTAACTAGTAAACAAAATGACTCACAGTTAGCTGATCATCCTACAACAAGCGCAAGAAGTTGGTTTGGTGTGATTATGCAAATTAAAAACATCCTTTTCTTAAAATTGTCAGGAGTCGATATTGGTATCAAGGCATGGCAAATATAAACAGCAGTTGATGTTCTTGTTTCGTTACTTCAGCAGGTTTGAAATGTTCCCACAAGCTCTGAATTCAGGTCTAAGGAAATCTGGCCTTTACGCAGCTGCAAGATCGCTACTTCCTCCTACTCCAGCCCACTCAGTGGCTTTTTAGGTTTCACGCTATGATTTAAACTAAAATAATTTGTATTTACATTTCTGCTAGAAAATTATACTTGTAGCATTTTGAAAATCGTATTTGTGAAGTGTAATGTTTTCTAGAAGTTCCTACTCCTGTTTGGAAAACTGATCAGAACGCTGCCTCTGCTTCTAGATGTTGCTGCACTTACCCCTAACAACAAAGAAGACCTCCAGGCAGTCATTGCTTTCAGCCTCCTAGAATCGCCAAAAGCTCAAGCCACAGAAAGAGAAGCAGAAAGGTCAGTGGATCCGTGAATTGTTTTTGGATTTGTCAGATATTTGTAAGTGCATCCTTAGGCTGATTGCGTTTTTAATACCTGCAAGACAAACGTAAATGCCCAAACAGATGTATACTTCCTGCTTTCATAAGATGCTTGGATTGTGATTGTCTGCTGGGTACCATAGTCATTCTTTCCTTCTCGGGCAGCGCTGCAACATGATGCTTGGAATAGAAAACTCAGGTTTAGTTGTGGCCTATTCAATTCCCGCTGTTGTTATTGACATGCCAAACAAAAGGAAACTTTACTGGAAGCACCTTGAAATCACTCATATTCATTCACCTCACACCAGTCATCAAGTAGCTATCTCCTTTTTACTGTGGATTGGACTGGATTTGTCTCCAATAACCACCAAAAATGTACTGTGTACTAATTTTCCAGTAGCTAATGTGTGAAGAAAAGCATGCACGTCTTATTACCTTATTCCATCTTCCCAAATTACCTTCCAGTCCTGTTTCTCATCCACCTCATTTGAGGATTAAAACTTTTTTTGAGGCAGATGAGTCGGGCACTGTCAGATAATGTACATAGCACAAGAAGTCTGGAGTGTCCTGCTTGTGACTAGAATGGAATACGATTCCTATAGCTCTTGAGAATCTTGGTGAGATGGTATTTTGTAACATGATATACATCTATCTCCTGTGACAGAGCACAGGAAGCACATTCTGCTGAAAACAAAAATCGCTCCAAAAGGAAACGCTGTGAAGTCTGGGGAGAGAATCCCAAACAAAACAACTGGAGAAGAGTGGGTGACTGGCCTGTTGGAATGAAAAACATTGGCAATACCTGTTGGTTTAGTGCTGTCATACAGGTAATCTAATAGCAAAGTTCTTCTGTAATTCCTGATGTTTATCGGTGATAATTAAAAATACATCATCTTTGTGAGGTGGTCATCATATGTAGATGAGTGAATGTGACCATGCTCAAATTTACTAATTTTTCCCAAGATTGCAAGTATACTAAAGTTATTACAAAAACAGAAACGTTCCCACCTCCACCCCTGGTTTTTCTGCAGTGAGGGCAGTATTGGGGAGGTTTCCACGTTTTCATTTTCAGATTTGAGAAATCAATCAAGCCTTAGTTTAAGATCCTAAAATACTTCTGTTTTTATTTCATATAGCAGAGATTTACTCTGGGCGTGCCAAATAAAATAGATACAAATAGATATAATCCGTGTGTACCTATGCAAATGTTTTTTGGTGCAGTGATGCCCACGTACTTACTGGATGACAGAAGCTAGACTGGCAAAGTGAACTGATAATTTAAATTTACTGCAGTGGTTGTTGGCTCAATACGTGTTGTATCAGATTGCAGTTAATGGAATATAGGGGCTTAAATGCTTGAACTAATAAGTAACTAGGCAGAGAGTATTATTAATGATAACCTGAACAAGAATAGACAACAATAAGAGGAACTGAACACATTTGGCTCTCCTAACCGTTTTACATCAGCAGATAAATGTTAATCATGTCTCTCTTCCTTTTGAAAGGAAATAGAATAGCTGTAGAAGTGCACCTTTCGTGTTATTAGTGGTTCCTCTGTGCTGTTTCGGAGCTTGCCTCTGCTCTTTTCTGAAATGCTTACGTACCCTAAAAACGGCAGGATGAAATTTTGGTCTTTGGCAGGGCGAAAGGGGAGACAGTGGGTACAGAGGTGCTGACCTGCCACGTAGACTGCTCACTTCTTAAATGTTTATTTTAGCAACAGAGGGCCACTGAAGAATTAGGAGTGAACAAAATGGCTGTAGAGTGCAAAGAATGATAATGGTGCTTCAAATTGTAATGAGTAAAGTACTGACAGATGTTGACCAGTCTTTCTTTTCAGTCTCTTTTCCAGTTGCCAGAATTTCGGAGGCTGGTCCTTGGCTACTCTCTCCCACAAAGTGTGCTTGAGAATTGTCGAAGTCGCACTGTAAGTTTTCGTCGAGTAATGCTGTGAAGTGTCCCTCTTTTGTGATATGTCTTGTTGCTTGTGGCTATCTTGATCTTTCTCTAAACAGTTTTAATCTGAAATGGGCCATCTGAGACCCCTGCGCCTATATTAATGACTTTTAAGTTTTCTTACTGCTTTAAAGTCAAGTTTGAGAAATACTTCTCAAAGAGAGAATCGCTGTAGAATAGATCAGATGCTTCCCATAAAGTTTTCTTCTACGACTTTCAGCTGAAGTGCAGGGGGAAATCTGTCCTATGGAATTTCTTTGGTAGCTCCAGATTGCTTGTACGCGCAACAGAGAAGAGCTGGTATTTGAGCCAATCTGAAGGTCTGTCTAGCCTCAGTACCTTCTCATAGCAGCCACTTGCTTCTGTGTGTGCTCTTGACACTCTGAAAAACCCAAGTTCTAGACAAAATAAATTATATAATTACTGGCATTTGCCTTATGTATTAGCTCTTATTACTTCTGGCACTTCTTTTCTGTAGATTTTTTAATTTATGTTAATTTTTTCCAGTTCTCCCATGCATCTATCAGTAGACCAAGTCACTTCCAAGAAATGACCTTACATGTCTTTCTGCTATTGTCCATTTTAATGTCATCCCTTTCCTTGGTTTGTTAACTTGCCTCTTTGGATATGTGCATGTAACACATGGAATTGGAACGCTGCTTTTTTTTGAGTTGCAGTAAGGGTTTGGGGTTTTTTTTCTTTTTTTTTGCAATGCAGGGAAAAAGAAATGTTGCGTTCATGCAAGAACTTCAATGTCTGTTTGCTTTAATGCTGGGGACACGTCGTAAGTTTGTAGACCCTTCTGCAGCGCTGGAACTCTTAAGAGATGCATTTAGATCAGCTGAAGAACAGCAGGTAAGACCAGGTTAAAAAGCCTTTTGTTATCTTCAGAAACCGTACTTGCAGACACATTGATCCTGTTTCACTTCATCCTGCTATTATTTTCAAAGGCCTCATCTCACGTTTGTCAACTGAAGAGCAGTTGTCCCTGTGTTGTTTAGGTGAAATGTACGTGCTTGCTAATTAAGCAGCCAGCATAACAGTCCTCCAAGAGCGCCGTCTGGGTAGTTGGGGAGTTATCATAGTAATTTCCTCTGATCTAGTTCTCAGGTGAGCAGTGTGTTCGTTATTGGTCTAAAATAACAATCGCAGCACTTTAAGTTCATGTTTTTCTCAGATGAGTAGGTACAGCAAAACCAGTTGTCCTGTATTTGAGTCAGTTTGTGAAACTGATGGAATATGAAAACGCTTTCACGTTCGTGTGTATGTTTGACTTTAAACTGCTGTCTCTTTTCTAGCAAGATGTCAGTGAATTCACGCACAAACTACTGGATTGGCTGGAGGATGCCTTCCAGCTTGCTGTGAATGTCAAGTGAGTTTTTATGGTCTCAGGAGTTTGACCTGTCTCTAAGCAGAAATAGATTTTTAAATATGACTGTTTGATAAATGGGAAGACTTTAAGTAAAAAATAAAATAAAATTGGGTTTAAAAAAAAACACAGTTCTTTGAGGATAATCCTCTTAAAGTATTAAATATGCAAATATGCTTATAAAATGTTGTGCCTGCATTTCTGCTTATAAAATGTTGTGCCTGCATTTCTTGCCTAAGTGTATGACTTTATTCAATGCCAGCATGGCCTGCAGAGTAAATAAGCTTTTTAAGGGAAATCAATAGAACTGATGCAAAATGGCATGAGGAGGTGGTCAGCTGGTATAATAAGATTGTCATGAAATGTACGCTACAGTATAACAGAGGTTATACTAGGAAAATAGACACCTGAAGTAGAAATTAAAATCTTCTTAAAGATCTTTCTTTAAAGATCTGTTCTTTAGAACTGCGTTTTGGAAGGCAGTATTTTAGCGGGTTTTTCTTCCTTGCCAGTATAAGTGATATAATGTACCTGTGAGTATGAAAACAGAGGAGAAGGTTCCTCTGTTATTTTGTGCTTTGATAGAAACCTTTACTTTTGATTGTAGGAAGATTCCCAAGCAAAGGCTTAGATTTTAAGCTAGGACTTTTTTAGAGACTGTAGCTCAAAAGAATCAAATATGTGCTTTTTTTCTTTTTGAAACAGCAGCCCTGGGGACAAATCTGAAAACCCAATGGTGCAACTTTTCTATGGGACTTTCTTGACTGAGGGTGTCCATGAGGGTGAGTTAAAGGATTTGATAGATTCACTTTTTAACTCCTTTGAGTGTTTTGATTAATGATGCAACATAGTTTTATGTTGCACCCTCTTGATGAAATTGCTTGGTTCTTCAGTGAACTTGCAAATAGTCGTCTTGATAAAAGACACGGTTTAAAAACAATTTTGTAACGTGTCTTTTTAAGACATATGTCATAATGTGTCTTAAATACTCTTATGTGCTCATCTACTTCAGCATTTGTCTATAAAGAGGCTTGTCCTGATAGACATCTATACAGAGAACCATATGGAGTTCATTTCTTACAAGTAGTATGTCAGAACTGGTGCTTCTCACAAGCTCTTGAGTTATCCAGGTTTTCTTGTTCTTTTAAGTTCATTCATGGGGTTTTGTATCTTTCCCTTATTCAGGCAATACTTTTTCCAAGATTGAAACCTTTGGTCAGTATCCCCTTCAGGTAAATGGTTATCAGAACTTGAACGAGTGCTTGGAAGGAGCCATGGTGGAGGGGGAGATGGATGAGGAGACAGCAGCTCAGTCAGTGAAATATGGGCAGGAGGTTAGTTTTATGTTTTGTTGTTGAGCTTTTGGTTGCTTTCCAAAAAAATCCAACGCATATAGCACAGGGGTGTCTCACTGTATTTTGATAACTTTAAATGGCAATTGTAATCATTCTCTGCTAACAAAAAGCACAAAATTTTCTGGATACCTGGAGTCTTGCCTAAATGTATGCTAATGTGAGTTACTAAGTCTTAGCTTATTTGTAAAGCTGTATTGTCCTATATAACCAATTTGAGGGGTTTGTTTTGCATTAAAAAGGTAAACATCTACTTCTGATGCAAGTGTGATAAAGTCTCTCTCTTTCTGTTGAAGCCTACCTGTACCTGAGTAGGGGGAGAACCACTGCCTCCATAGTTTCGGAGGGTAAAAGTACAGTGCTTAACTCTATGGTATGCCATTTGGAATTTGTTTCTTTCTCCCTATTACAGTGTGTGTTTCTTTTCTTCTCATTTTCACTCTTATCTTCTGCCTGTGCTGATTTTTTTTCTTTTTTTTCTTTTTTTTTAATTCCTTGAATCAACAGATCAATCATAAACTATTTAGCTGCAGCAATGTAGAAAGTTGAGATGTACCATTACATTCAGCATCCTGTATGCGTAAGAGTAGCTGAGAGGTTAGTCTAGATAAAGGTTGGGAAATAATATTAAGAAATTTGCAAAGGTATCTGGCATAGATGGGGCAGGGGAAGGAATTTCATTTCTGTCATGTGAAAAATGTGCCGCCTTGTCTTAAAGTAGTAAAAGAAAAATAAAATCTTGCGCTGGTAAGCCATGTCTGAGTTTGGACTCAGCTGTTTGTTAGTGGTTTTACTAGTTTTTGCATGAGGCTGTTTGGACACAATTAAAGCAGATTCTGTAGCAACTGATGTTACTGAAAGATATGGGAAATTGGCCCAGTCATGAAGAAGTTTTAATGATTGTGTGGCTGTACAGATAGGAGGAGAGGGCTCGGACTTTCATTTCTATGACATGTGATTAGAAAGAACTGTGCATGTTTATTTTACTTCCTAAGATGTGGTGACTAGAGGCCTACATGATAGGGGACATAGAGAATGAGGTGCATTTTATCTTTTGAGGACATAGGTGGCTGTACTGTAGCTTAGTGCATCAGTGGGATCAATTAGAGCAGGTGTTTCTCCTACGTAATAGATGTATAAAACCTTCCTTTCTCTTTCTTACGTTCTGTTGTTCTGAAGATTGGGCGGCTTCTCAAAAGGCTGTGCTAGCTGGCCATTTCCTTCTAAAGTATTAAAAATAGTCACCTTCATTGTAAAGATTTTAGATCTAAAAATGTGCTATGGCACTTTGGTGTAGGGACAGATGTATTGTGGCAGGACACGTGACATGGATCACGCAAAGGAAAGCGGCCTTAGTGTGTTCATCGTGAGTCCAACAGGGAATATTGTCTCTGTGGTGCCATGCTAAGGTAGGTGAAGTAAACTTCTGGCAATGGATGCTTGAAGTGTTTGTGAACCCAGGAGGATAGAGGAAGTGTAAATGCAACTGAGACTTTTTCTTTCAGCATGGCTCTTTGAAACAGTGTTTTAAACATAAAGAAAGTGGATTTGTGGTCTGAATGTCCTAAGCTGAATAGCTCATAAATAGACTGAGAGAGGATGAGGAGTAAGATGCTGGTTAAGGACTTCTGTTTTAATTGTTCATCATTGCATGAGCGCTGCATTGGAAAATAACTATCTCAGAGGCTCTTAGCTGACATCCAGAGTTTGTGTAGTGTTTGTGATTTCTGTAAAATTAATTACTGGAATAATCTGTCAAGCTAGATGCACCGGGCAAGGGAAATTAACTTTCTGGAAGCTATCATGAGGCTTCTTTATGGTAAACATTTAAAATGGAAGTGGAAATTTTAATCTCATAAAATTTGACTTTCTGACTAGCTGCTCCATAAACAAAATATATGCTAGGTCAGTGGTTGAAGACAGACAGGTACTTAGGATCAGTCTAAAATACACCCTTTAGCAATCATCTTAAAACAAGTCCCTTTTGGGGCGTTTCTGCTTTTGTTACAGCGCTGGTTTACAAAACTCCCACCAGTGTTGACCTTTGAACTCTCCCGATTTGAGTTCAATCAGTCACTAGGACAGCCAGAGAAAATTCACACCAGGCTAGAATTTCCCCAGACTATTTATATGGACAGGTGAGTTGTTTGGTTTTACCATATGTTAATGCTGATGCTTTGTTTCAATTAACGAAGCAAAAAAGATCTTATTGATGAGGCGGGAAGGGTTCTAAAATATTTATGAGAGATTGTAGATATCAGGAGTGAATAAATCTCACATGGTGGGGCTCTGTATTTTGTCCGTTTAGGTACCTCTACAGCAGTAAAGAGCTTATTCAGATGAAAAGAGAAGAAATCAAGAGACTGAAGGAGAAAATAGTGATTCTGCAGCAGAAACTGGAAAGGTAAGTAGTCAACTAATTTTATTTTTGTACCATGTGGAAGTTTGTGATTCCTTACTTTTAAATGAGCTTTCAAATAACATAGAAACTTGTAGAGGAAGGAGAAAATTAATCACGTTTGTTTTTTTTTTTTTTTCCCCTGGGAAGTGTGGAGAAAATTCTTTTAAAAAAAAAAATTTAAGGAAAAAGAATGTGTGAGCTTTATGATGGAAAGAAACAAAGAGGCAAAGGAAAGATTTTATTTACCAGGTGTTTTATCTGAAAGTCCTTTTAATCAGCTCTAAACCTGCTTGCAGTTCTTTTAATTTTACTGAGACAAGGCTGTGAGCAGGTGGCAGGCGAACACTTGTACTGTGTAGTAGTAGCCTTGGTGTTATTTGTGCTCAGTATGGGTTCTGGTGGGTGTCGTGAAAACAGTTTATATTTAAGTCCATGGGTAGTATACAAAGGCACTCACGTCATGTGTTACCACGGCTGTGGCCTACGTTTTAGTTCCTCGTCAAATAAAAGATAATGTGGTGGCTACTGCTAAAACAAGTTCCGTAGTTGGCAAGAGTTTGCAAAATTTCCAGTCTTTAGACTAAAGAACAGAATAATCAGCTGTTAAAGGTAGGAGTCCGGATGGTGTCTGAGCAGAGGTACAGCTTAACATTGAGAGACAAGTTTTCATAGTGGAGGGTTTCTCTTGTAACTGCAGGACTTCTGAGGAAAAGAACAGAAGGATGCATAGGAGGAACAAGTGTGTGCTCCGTGGGCTCTCGTTCTCTCTCCCCGCCGGATGTTCAGATTCTGAGGAGGAAATTGAGGCAGGGCAAGGTGTCCTGGCTGGTTTTTAATCCAGATCTGTATATATTGTCATAGAGAAAGTAAAAAGTTGCTGGGTTTGCGTTTTGGAATTTTTTTAACATTTAGGAGATTGTGTGCATCGTAATTGGCTTTTATTAGTACTTACAATGAAGAGGTAACCTGGTAAAATTCCAGTTTGTTAAGCGCTGCCAGTATTAAAAGGATATAGGAAAATGTAAAGGTAAGTGCTGGTCACTGGGCTTGCAGCAACAGGGCTGTGTTATTCCACTTTCATAGGACGTGAAGGACCGTTCTTGGACAAAAGCTGTGCATCCAAACAGGAAGCACGGACGCTTACTTTAACAAATGGATGACTGAGGAATACATAAACAGCATATGGCAGGATCCTGAATTTGCAGATTTGTGAGCATTTAGTGGGGGAAGGTATACTACAATTATCTGACACGATTTCTCTGGAGAGCTGGTGTGTTCAAAACAAGTTCTATAAAAAGACAGGAATGTTATATGCTGCCTCTCCATAAATATGTCATTGACTGTGTCACAAACTAATATGTAGCAGTTTACTTGTGTCTTTCCTCAGGGTTAACCAAACAGTCATATTCCTCCATTAATGGAACATGTTGTTTTTTTACTGTAGGTACATGAAATATGGTTCTGGCCCAACCCGCTTTCCACTACCTGACATGCTCCAGTATGTTCTTGAATTCGTTACTACAAGGCCAGCTGTAGTTATTTCTTCTGCTCATGACTCTCAGACAACAGTCCTGCAGTCCCAAGCCGAGTCTCATGTTTTGGACAGGCTTTCACAGCAGAATAGGTTAGTAAACAGAAATAAAAAAAACTTTTCTAGGCAAACACTTCACCTTCCAGCTAACTACTCATGATGTTCATCCTCAAAGATAAGTGGATTATTTATCTAGGCACTTTGTGAGCATGATGATGTAAAGTGTAAGTGCCTGTGCAAGTAATCAGTAGCTGCTTTCCTCTTAATTCGGTTCTGTTGTTTGGGTAAATGTAACACTGCATCAAGTCTGTTCTCTTTCCTTTCCTGCGTTTGAGCAGTAATCCTAAGTTAGATTATGGGCCCTTTTTGGTTAGGGTGCTAATATTTTGTTCCATCAGCCATTGAATTACTACAATAATGGATTATCACAAGTCTGCCCATCATGGTTGGCTTATACGCTTGAGTAAATAAATGAATTCTTCAATAGTAAGGGAGGGAATTTTTAGAATCGCTCGCTGTGAATCTGCACTTCCTGTGCACAGATGTAGAGTTCTGTGAGAACCTTGTCTTGTCTTACATTTCAATTTGATCTGCTAAAGAGGAAGTACGTTTTAGTGAACTTGTTCTCTTTACATACCGTACCATCTGGAAAAGGAAATTGTGCCCTGACTTTTGAGTAATTTTGATTTGCTTCATTTTCTTTTTAAAAAAAAAAAAAAAAAGAAAGAAAGAAAGATTGAATAATCTTGTCTATTACTATGGGATTTTGCTTCATAGTATACTAGAAGCAAAGAATACTAAGACGACTGAAGATACAGCTTTCTTTTTGGCAAATTCTTCACCACAACAAAAACTGAGTACGCCACTCCAGCCTTCTGATTCACCAGCAGAAATGTCTGACTGCCCAGCTCCTCACATGGTTTCTGAGGAGGAGATGAACCTTGTTAGGACGTGTCTTCAGCGATGGAGAAACGAGATTGAACAAGACATACAAGGTTGGCCCAAAGTATATTTGTTGTGATTTCCTGTTGATTGCCAGCCTGAATTCCTTTCTGTTGCTTTAATTGGACACATCCTGAACCAGTCCCTGAGGTGTTCCTGCTCATCTAAAAATGACTCTTCTGTATGTTTTGAGATACATGGTACATGCGGTGGTCGTAGGCCTACCATCAACTAGTCTTGTGAAGGTTTCAAGTCTGGTGTTAACTGTACTTGAGAAAAGCTGTGACCCTGCCCTCTGTTAGTTATTGCATGACTCCAATATCTTTGAAGTGAAAGGGTCCGCAATAGCCTGACTTGTCATTAGTTTTCATATATTTTTCTTATTCACGATGTTCTTGGCAGATTTGAAAGACTCTATTGCCAAAATCAACCTATCCATTGAACAAATGTACTGTGACCCTCTCCTCCAACAGGTAAGAAATGCAGCTTCATTAGGTAAATGTTAAACTGATATTGCTGGCTATATTGACGTAGTAGAAGATAAATATTTGTTTGGAAGGAGAGAAAAAACGCTACATGTCTTGCCTAGGTTGGGAGGAAGGATTTGTTTTTAATCAGACTCTAGCCCTCTGGGGAGGGGAAGAATGAATGTCTTTAGACTGATGTTCTCGCCCTCACCCTTGCAATGAACTAATGGAGACATTCTCAGTGTCATCAGTTCTTTGAGAGAAATGCTTCCTTCTCATGTTTTTACCCTATGTTCAAACTTCCACAGAGCTTCTGAGGTTAATAAATTTGTGCTTTTCCCAAAAACATTTAAAGCCTGAAGTGTCTGTACTTGCAGAGAATCAGTTCAGTCATGTGTGCTTCTGTTTATTTTGTCTTACCTCAGGAGATGTGGGATATACACTCTCAGGCAGCTGCAGAGCATCCATTTTAGGTATTTAAACGTCCCAGGGAGAAAAAGAGGAGAAGGGAAAAGCAGCTCTGTATGCCTTTGTTCTGATATTCAGGAGTTATTTGGCAAAGTCTAACTTTTTTCCTTTTAGTTATTCCATTCATCCAAGATGAAAACAAATCTCCGCTATAGGATGCGCGTGATAATAATTTAATCTTGTTTGAATAGGATAAGTTTGTTTGCTCTTTCCTCATTCATGCTCAAGTCTCTGCCTGTTTTTAGATTAATTCTGTATGGAGAAAAGTTTAGGTTTCAGAACGTCCAGCCTTTACCAAATAATCTTTCCTAACTATCTTAATTGTGAATGCCATAGAGATGGTACCTTAACTGTGACCACTTTTTCCTCTACCAGCTAGGAACTGAGTTGGCTATAAAACTGTAAGTAAAGTATACTTCAGCAGGCCAAAGCTATCCTTGGATCAGTCTAGATTTCAGCTCATGCAGTCCTCTTGTTTTTTTATGTGGGACTTTGCATAAGGGGGCTCTGACCCATCACAGAAAGATGGAATTCAGAACCTAGCCAGAAACTGAGTTGGAGGCTGGTTCTAGTTGGGCACCAAACTTTGGATACTGATCAAATACGGACATTGCTGTGTTTAAGCACGGGATAAATCCAAGAGCGCTGTCTGAGCTCAGGTTATGGTACCTACTTTGCTATAAGGGATCTTTGAGTGAAACACTTCATGTTGCTACACTGCCAGACAGATGGTTTGGCACAACAGGTGCAAATTGTTGAGCAAGTTGAGGCAGCAGCGCTAAGAATTCATACAGAAATGGCTCATAGACGCATCTACTGTAGCGGTCAGGAGAATACTCTCTAGTAATTAGAAGTTCGGTAAGGGTGCCTTAATATCGCTTCAATAGCAAGTTCAGACATCACGCTTTCTACGTTGGGAGCATGAACTTTTTGGATGGCCTCAGTTTCCAGTGCAATAATCGGACTTGCCTTTCAGTGTCATGATGGCACTTTTGGTCTAAGATGACAGCATATGGCGAAAAGAGCAGTCAAGTCTTATACAGTCTGAAATTTAGTGTATGAATCAACAGTCCTGTAGAAGGCAGCAGCTGTGAATAGTCTTAAAGTTCTTGTATAGAGGCTAGACAACTTTGTTTACTAAAAGTAAGTCTGAAAAATATGTTTGTATGAATTTGCAGGTTCCCTATCGTTTGCATGCAGTCTTGGTCCATGAAGGGCAAGCAAATGCTGGTCATTACTGGGCCTACATATATGACCAGCCTCGAAAAAGCTGGCTCAAGTACAATGACATCTCAGTGACAGAATCATCGTGGGAAGAATTGGAGAGAGATTCATTTGGAGGCTTGAAGAATGCCAGTGCCTACTGCCTGATGTACATAAGTGATAAGGTGTCCCACTTTGTTGCAGGTATTGAAGCCAAAACTGCTGGTTATTTAGACAGTTGTGTACTATGTTGTCTCTGTAACCCTGTGCAAACATTAAGTTCGTCAGCATCTCTTTGGCATAGTGTTATCCCAGTTCTGTAGAGGAGAAGGTAGTGGGAGCCGCGGGAGTGGTGGAGTGTAACTTGATTGCTGTCAAGAGGAGGAAAAGACTAGCTCTGCAGCACGCTTAGTTCATTAGACCTGGTCGTATCTAGTTTTAGCATATCGGACAGACACTTAATTATTAGTCTTTATATGCAGTTTTTGCCATTTTGAATCAGACCCTCTTGTTCTAGGAGCCCATCAGGCAGCATCCAAATGCTTCCGAAGATAATGCAGAAAAGTTCACCCAATAATGAAGTGATCTGTTCCATGCTCAGTTTTTTTTCCTAAATCCCTTATAAAGGTAGAAAGAACTTTGCTAGTGAGATGAGAGTAATTTATTTAATATTAATAAGTATAAATATTCAAGCTCCCCATTTGCTTCTTTCAATATGCCTTTATTGCTAGTGTTAGTCACTTTGGCTCTGTATACAGTTTATATGACAGTGCTTCATTTATAAGGTCACGTGGAACGTCTCCCACTTTATTCATGCCATTTTTATCTTGCGTTTTGGCTCAATCGCTTGTTCTGTAGCGGTATCGTAATATGCAACCTACACGATGTGTCTTATTTATGCAGTCTTTGCTACTGCATGAGTTGAGTTATTGGTAACAGTGACTGAGCCTTACAAGCGTGTCTGCAATGCCACTGTGTACATAGTTATATGGAGAAATTATTGTGCACGTGGCAAACAGCTGTAGAAGAACCTACTAATCTCCTGCATGGTTCATTTAGGTGTAATAAATTCAAACAAACAATGTAGAGCTGTCATTCTGCTCGTCGCTGAATGTTGCTTATGAGAATCTGAAAGCTGTGTTCTTTGTGTGTCTTCCTATGACACAGTTCAGCTTCTGAACTAAACCTGTTGATTTTTTTTTTTTTCCTATTTGATGTAGTGGTTGTTGGTTTTAAAAATGTTTTGGTGGTAGGGAACTGCCATTTGGTTTTGATTAAATTTAAAGACTTGCCTAAAACTGGTATTTCTTGTTTTTTTGTGATACTTTAGAACTTAAAACAATACTGAAATAGATGTAAAAAATACTGATAAGTACCAGCATGAAATTCATGCTTTGGAATCCATGTGATTCCTACCCTTATACGTTAGTTAGCATTGTAGGTATGATGTCTCAAGCTGAATTGAGACCTTTCTGGCTACTGGCAGTTTAAATGATGGTCTCGGAATATCACAGCCCTTTAGTAAGGATATATTTCTGACCTACTGTGTCAGTGATCACTGTTTCTGGAATTGCTCTTCAGTAAATGCTGTTCAGAGGTAGAACAAAACTAGTTTTTGTTTCAGATAGCTTTGTATATTTGTCTTTATCTTAGTTATCTTGTCTTTATCTTATTTGTCTTTATCTTAGTTCTTCTGTTTAAGGATCATCTTAATTTATAGAGCTATTAGAAAGTGGTTTTTTTCCCATTTATCTCTCGGCTGATTGTTGCTTTCCATAAAATGGCAGATATGTTTAGTCTATGATGGTATAGTCATACTACCACGTATTTCATCGTATAAAAAATTGTGCATTTCTTCCAGATGACAACGAGGATTCAGAGGTGGGACAGTTTCAGAAAGAAGTTGAAGCCTTGCCCCCAGAACTGAAACATTACATCCAGGAGGACAACTGGCGACTAGAGCAGGAGGCAGAAGAATGGGAAGAGGAGCAATCTTGCAAGATTCCTCAGATAGAGCCTTCACCTGCTTTTGAATCGCAGGACCTCTCTTCTGATTCAGGACCAGGTGACACCACATCTGATTTTGTGAACAGTGTTGAAACTAGTAACAACCAACTGGTCAAAAATAGCACTGGTCTGGAGCCTTACAGAAAATTCTAGATATCTAGGATAAACAGTTAATGAAGTAGCAAAGCAGGTTGGTGGAGGCTGCATCCCGGCAACAGGAAAAGCTGTTCTACTGTTTGTGTGTATACATACTTCTAAGCTTGTCATCGAGTTGGGTGAAATGGTGTTTTTCATTCATTTAATCATAATGAGCTAATTACAAAAATGACAGTGAGTGAAATGAAGGTATTGAGCAGCAAATGTCGAGGTGCTGCTCTCTCGAGTGGAAGAGTGTCACTTAGCAATGCCTGATAGTATGTGCCATACCCACTGAAAAGGCTTCGTGAGGCTTCATGCACAAGCTCATGGTGAAATGCATTCTCCTCTGGGATGAATGTAGCAGCTGTTAAATCTTGTGGAGAGGTGCTACAAAACATCTTAGATCAAGAAAGGGAAAGCAGACTCAATGAAAAACAAGCGCTCATTCAAGTATGGGATTTTGATGGAACTGAGTAGCAAGCCTACCCCAGACTCTAGTATGGTCTTAAATTGAGGTTTTGCATCACATTGTTAAATGATGGAACAGTTTAAGGTGTGAATAAAGGCACCGTTTTATTTTAGGCTGTAATTTCTGAAGATATGTACTTTTAGTAGACTGTTCCATCTTCTGAAGTGCTTTGTGTGGCCAAGTTTTTGACAGAATTAAGGTAGCCTGTAAATTCACATATGAATGGTTTGGGGATGCCATTCACAGGTAAAGAAGGTGTTAAGTGTGCCTAATAAATATGGAAGATGGCTGCTTTGATCTCATGCACTCATATTTGCCTTTTACCCTCTGTGCATTTGGATTTGTGTCTTGCAGTTCATGCTCAGTAATACCACACCTCTGTCCTGACAGATCAGTCTTCAGTCTGTGAGCAGAGCATGCGTTCGCTGTCCTCTGAACATGCCATGATTGCAAAGGAGCAGACTGCCCAGGCCATTGCAAACACAGCCGATGCCTATGAGAAGAATGGTGTAGAAGCAGCTCTCTGTGAGGTAAGAACTGAGCCCTGGCCCAGGAAACAGGCAGTTGTCGTCTTTGTATTCTTCTTAACAAACATCTGCTTTTTCCATTTCTGTGTAATTCTGTAGCTGTACCACCTTTAACTCAGGCCACTTCTGCTTTCCCTGTATTTTGTTTTTGTTTTTCTTATTCTTTTTCTTCTTTCTGCTGCCACAGCCCAAGGAGGTAGACCCAACGAAGGCCCATCCAGGAGAAACAGCCCTTACAGTTCAGGCAGAACAACCACAGGATGCTAAAGAGACAGAGTCTGCTGCCCAAACTAGCTCACAGGTCTCTGAAGTGGAAATCCCCAGTGTGGGGAAGATCCTTGTTAGATCTGATGCAGACGGATATAATGAGGAGGTACAGAACCCAGTGCAGGAGTTAATCACTGTCTGTCATTAACCGGTAACTTTGCAGTTAGCTGGCTTTGAGCTTTCCTAAGATTGGGTAAGATAGTAGTCTGGCAGGAAATAATGTTGTTTTCCAAACAAATTTTCCCACTGTAGAAATAAGGAAGGCCAGACTGAATTTTCTAGTAATTTCATCTCTAAATGCCATCAGAAAAGCAGCTCTGTGAAAGCACTTAATCAAAACATCTGCATGTTGTTCCTTTAAGTAAGTCTTCTTTCTGTCACAGCTGTATCAAAACTGGTCTTAGCTGTATTACTTTATTTGCAAGCCGCTTTATTACTTTCAGTTAGGGTTTTGTCCTGTCTAAGAAGTGACTGCTAAACCTTAACAGTATCCCAGCTATGGATTTGTTGAATGTGACTGTTTAACCCCCCTCAAATACGTACTCGAGTGGCATTTTAGAAGTCAATCAATTCAGTCTTTTTCACAAGTACAATTGCATTTCACGTACAGAGATATTGAGCTTGTTACTACACGAGTATGTTTAATATTTGCTTGTGTGCGGTTGGCGCAATGAAACGCTCTGCCGCAGGCAGCGCTCTCTTATTCGTATTGCTTTAAAAGATTGAATGGGACATATAGGGGATATGATTACTGTGCGTTATGTTCTCACCTGTTGAATTTACAAACTCCAGGCTTGGAACGATGCATTTAAGTGTTTGAAAAAAAAACTGCATGTAAAGTGCATGTGGCAGATGGAACGAGTAGTATATAATCAAATCACAGCTCTGGCTTATTCCGCCTATATTCGTACCATTTCCTTTAAACTTCATCTTTTGAACTTTTTTTCTTTTCTTCACCGTGCCTTTTCTTCTTTTCCGGTCTGTCATTGTTTTCCTTGTTCTTGTTTATTTTCCTGCTTTTGTGGTAGGTAATGCTGAGTCCAGCCATGCAAGGTGTGATCCTCGCTATTGCAAAAGCCCGTCAGACCTTTGATCGAGATGGGTCTGAAGCAGGGCTTGTTAAGGTATCTTATTTGTTTGCTAAATCCAGTAGCTTGAAAGTTTGTGTTTTCATGAAATGAGGAAAGTAGACTACTGACGTATCACAAATGTGAAGGGAACGTTTCCTGCAGTTTTTCTTTTAGCTAATGGCTTGTGTGACCCACGTTTTTGTTTCTGTTCTCTTATTGTAACAACACATCCTTGTGCTCTAAACAATTGTTAGAGGTTGTAAGAGCTCCGCTCCCCTCAGAAGAAACAACAGGTTTTTACTTACTTTTCACTATTTATACTACTTATTCTTTTACTATTGGCAGTTCTCTCAGTCTGGATAATGAAAAGTAGACCTGCTTTTTTTGGGGTACCTGTTAGAATCTGTTGCATAAGTCCTGGTATGATCATCAGAAAGCAGCCATTTAATTGAAACCAGGACTCATTTGAAATTTTTTTTCGGTCCTGAACGTGCATGCTTATTGTAACCTTTCTTGTAAAATGTGTCCTAAGAACTGTATGCAGTAGGCAGAGGGATTTGCAAGAGTACACACTGCTGCATGTGGAAGCTGATGTTAGATTTTACAGGCAAAAGGATTTAAATAAAAACGTGGCATGGGAAAAATCACCTGTTTTTAATATCCAGGAATATAAATCACTCTTGCCTCTTAATACAGACATAAGAGATATGCAGTAGATTTCTACAACTTTGGCACTTGCAAAAGGATTTCCAAAACTAAGGGAGTTATACACCTCACCCTTTCTGAAAGGCATTTAGCCTAGTATCAACCGCTGCAGCATTCAAACTGGCAGAAGAGTGAAAGTTTTAGTATGTGCATTTCATTGATAGGCATTCCACGAGGAATACTCCAGACTCTATCTACTTGCAAAAGAGACCCCAACCCCTCAGAATGATGCCCGGTTGCAACATGTGCTCGTTTACTTCCTGCAAAACAATGCTCCCAAACAGGTTGTGGAGCGGACCCTTCTTGAGCAGTTTGCAGATAAAAACCTCAGCTACGATGAAAGGTTTGTGCTGTGGATTATAGGATAAAGTTTTCTCATCGGACACAGCTGGCATCATTGTTCTGATTTTGTCCTCTCTGCTTATACTGAACAGGTCAATTAGTATTATGAAGGTAGCACGAGCTAAGCTGAGAGAAATTGGCCCTGATGATGTTGATATGGAGGAGTATAAGGTAAGGGACCAGAATGGCACTTTTGATTCTTAATGCTTGTCAGTACTCATGCTGTCCAAAGCAGCATGTGGGCAACCGGGAATACAGTGCAGAACAGTGCAAGCACATAAAGCAGTAGCTGGCATGCCTATAAGCAACTGACTAGCTATCTGAAGTTTGTGAGTTCAGAAAGTGGATGTTAAAAGTAAGAATGAATACCTTGGGAATTTCCTGAACTTTTGGGAACGTGCATGTAATTGACTATATTGAGTTTTTTTTTTTTTTTTATGACTTACAAGAGAATTTTAAACTCCTCAAAGGGTAACATCTGATACACTTCTGGATTGTGAAGGAAAGTAGAACTGTGTGTGCGCGCATGTTACAGATGAAGCTGACACTCTGCTTTTCTCGTTATTCCTTAACAGAGATGGCACGAAGACTACAGTCTTTTCCGCAAGGTGTCTGTTTACCTGCTTACAGGGTTGGAGCTGTACCAGAATAGAAAGTAGGTTAATTTTAATTGGGTGTTTGGGTAAGATTAGCTGCAGCCTAGAAGTACTTTGACAGTACTTATTGCTTCTGACCTGTGATGGTCAATCTTGTATTCAAGGCCAATGTGCTTTCTTCTTGACTTGCTAATAGCCCTCTCTGGAATTCCGGGGTGACCTTGTTCAACAATTTAAATAGTATACTGCATTACTAGCTAGGTGTCTGACCCTGATTCTTAGGGTCTGACCCCAGTTCTTAGGGTGTCCCACTAATCTCTCCCTCAGTAGAGCTTTGTATTCTCATTCCCAGAGATGGGTTTGCCAGACTGGTTGCCATTACTTTTTTTGCTCTTTGTACTCCTGGATTAAAATTAAACTGTCCCATACTGGATGCCGTACTTTGTTTAAAAACATGTTTTGGAGTCTCTGGACTCTTAAGAAGTGAAAAATGGGTGTTCTTTCCCACCAAAGTTTTTGAGGCTGTATATTACATGAATAGTGCAGTGCAGAGAAAGACAGTTCCATTTCATGAAAGGTTTGATGTTTGAAAACCTGGCTTTTATAAATTATTCATGGGTGGCAACAGAACTTATGTTCTGAGAAGGCTCGCAGTGATGGGCTGCCACAGTCAAGTGGGCAAACTGCCAAGAGGCTGAGCAGGGTGTGTTAGAGCTTCTCTGAAATGACCTAGCCTCTACCAATTGTTTTGATTTGGCTGACTCAAGAAGCTCAACCCAGCAGTTGTTTTCTTATACGTTTTTCACCAGTTCTTTTCTAAACTAGAAATATGTGAAGGAACTGAAAATATTGTTCTACGCACCTCTTTATGCGGTCTCCCAAAGTGCAAAGCTGTGGGACCAATACAGCTAACGTAGAAATTGGCACTCACGTTCTGAATTGTACGCAAACTTGTCTTTAAAGGGCTGTTCCTAAGATGCTGGTTTGGCACACTGGGAGAAAAAGGAACGTGTCATTATTTGACGTAGAACAATTGTTTATGCTTTGGTGAGGAAATGAAGTTTATCCGTCAGGCTCGGTGTTGGTTAGCATTGAGGCTAAGCGGAAAACATTTCCTGAGTTGACGTCACCGACTTCACTGCAGCTTGTGACACTGATAAACCTGGTGGGTTGGACAGCTAGCACTCTTCTTCTAGGTACCAGGAGTCGTTGACCTACCTAGTCTACGCCTACCAAAGTAACACCACTCTGCTGATGAAAGGACCCAACAGAGGAGTAAATGAATCACTGATTGCCTTGTACAGAAGAAAATGTCTGCTGGTTTGTAACGAAGAGCTCTAAACTCATTCTTGGAGGGCAGGGGAGGGATCTTTTTGCTCTGTGATTCAGTTCACTCACTGACTGCTAAATGCACATTGCTCAAAGAATCAGATCATGCCATATTCCCTTGTATGAGCACGTTTTATTAACATGCTTCTTTTTCGGGGAACGTTCAGATACTGCTGAACTTGCTCTTGGGCTTTAAATCTATGCTTTTCAAAAAGCAGTAGTTGTATTATTTTCTGTCCGTTAGGTTCCAGCATTGCCTTCTCCCCTTTTTTAATTTCTATTGTTAATAGCTTTTTCTCACTAAGCAAAAAGTGATGCCCTTTTCCCTAGGGGAAAAAGCAGTATAAAACTGAGATTTGTTTTTAGTTCATACTCTGTGGTTGCCAAGACCCGTGTAACTATATCTCTTGCGCCTGTTACCGTGGCTTCCGCTCCTTACTGAGCGCCAGCAGTAGTACGGAAATCTAGCAAATAATAGTTTGCTGAAGCAATGTGGGGTGCAGTTCTCAGGGAACGTGGGTAAAAGCAGATCTGTATTTTGACATCTTAAAGACAGAGCTAGATATATGCTGTTGCTCTAATCCTTTAGCAGTTTTTTTTTTCTCTGATGTGATTCCTTTGATTAAAGGTTGATATTCCAAAAGAATGTGGCAGCTGGTTTTGCTAGCCTGTGTGTTTCTGCATGGCCCTCGGGTGAAAGGGGCTGAGTCGTGTGACTTTCCTGACAGCATATTGACTGCCTGATGTCTGTGGTTGCTTTGTAAACGTCTGTCCCCCGATTTCCCTCTTCCCGCAGAAGCTGAACGACATGGCAGCATCTCTCTTTGTAAGCAGTGAAGAGGCTCATGTGGCAGAGGGCATTAACATCCTGAATGAACTGATCATCCCCTGCATGCACCTCATCATTAACAACGACATCTCAAAAGATGACCTGGATGCCATCGAGGTCATGAGAAACCACTGGTGCTCCTATTTGGGACGAGAAGACATGGACGGTAGGGAAGAGCTGCCTGCCTCCCCTTTTTTGTGCTGTGTGTTCCAAGTGGTTGGGATGGTTTCTAGATCTTAACTAGAAAGGAATTAAAGGACCGTTTAAAACATTTCCTTGGATTCTTAGCGTTTGCGTTATAGCATGCTTGGGTATTTCTGGTCGAGATTGTGGGAGGAGAAGTGTATTTGAATCGTCAATCGAATTATGTTACGGAAGAATTTAATCGCTGTTTGCTCTAAAGCTGCAGAAGGATTCCTGTTCATTGAAATGTGAGAAACGATTTCAGAAAGAGTGGCTTAGCATCATCTAGGTGTGTTTTGGTTTTGTTTTGTCTTTTTTAACTGAGAGTTTCCCATAGATGGCAAGTGAATGCTAGCAGATTTAATTGCATATGCCTGGCTTCTCTTCAGAGGCGGAGAGCAAGTTTTCTTAGTTTTCTAGGACACTGAAAATAACTTTTTCTTTTCTAGCAATATTAATAATTACAAATTATTAACAAGTATTAGACCAGAATTAATAATTAGGAGTCTATCTAAGCAGTAGTCTAGTTTACCAGCATTTCAGAAGACTGAGTGGGGAAACAGATTCAGAGGATCTTTGCCCTGTAAAGAGAGGTGTGTTCTTTGTAGCTGAATTTTGTTTCTGGATAGGATAGCTGTCTTTGTTAAGTATTTCCTTCTGCAGTCTGGAGCCATGAATCCCGTCAGGTTTTAAAAAAGAGATTGGTTTTGACTGCCTTGATCTGTGTGTGTGAAGGTTTGAGGAATTGTGTTCATTTTTATCATCAACAGAAGGTAAATTTGCTCTAGGAAAATAAGGCAAAATCGCAGAGGTTTATTCTCAAAATGCCACTGTAGAGAACAGAAGCTGGATGCACTTATGTATCCAGTGTGCAAGTTGCCCATTCTTTGGTTTGTCCTAATGGCACTTCACTTAAAGAATTTACAGAAGGAAAAGCAGATTGCACCTTCTGCATCATATGAGCTAGTTCCAGCGTTGCCACTTTCTGCCTACTTTTCTTCATCTAAAAGTGCTTGTCCTTTGATATGCCACCTGATGCTGGAGTTTGTGTGGTCAGCTCCTGAAGGGCCCTTGTTTAGCGTGGGTTGAATGCTATCTCTTCTCTATGGGCTGACCTGTGAAGGTCTGAGATGTTAAAGGCCGTAGCGTGCGCTCTATTTTGCTTAAATGTAAAGTCAGCATTTGAGTGTAGCCTTGAAACACGCAGTTATTTCTGACTTAGCAGCAAGTAGAGCATCCTGAATTGAGGGAGTGTAGTATCTTGGTGGCACTTGGCACTACCCCCGGTGCAGCTAGGTGGCAGTGGAGCTTTCCTTTTTTTTTTTTTTTTTTGAACCGAGTGTAGCCTCCACGCGCAAGGAGACAGCACCTGAGGACTGATGAGACCCAGGCCAGCAGCTGGTGCGATGACTCTTATGTGTCAGCAGACACTGCTTATCCCTGTGTGCAGCTGTTTTAGGCTTTGGAAGATCAGTCTTGAAAAGGTGTCACAGCTTTTTAGCTTGCAGCCCTCAAACCCTCTGCAATCAGGTCTTTTACAGTTTCAGTGCGGTTGACTGTCTCATCCTCTCCCCCTTCACAGCAAACCTACAGCTGAAGCTGGGCGAATTGCTCCCCAGGCTCCTTGACTGCTCTGCAGAGGTTATTGTGCTCAAAGAGCCCCCGAAGATCCGGCCCAACTCACCCTACGACCTCTGCAGCCGCTTTGCAGCCGTGATGGAGTCCATTCATGGAGCCTCAACGGTGACTGTAAAATAGACTACTGACTTTCCATCTTGACGTGGTATACCGTGAGCCACCCAGCTGCACAGAATCCTTCTGTCAGGCAATATTTCAATGGGAGAGGGAGGAGGACAGGTGATTCATATCCAGACCTGTATTCTTTGTATATACGGATGAATAAAAAGCAGTATTGCACTTTTAAGATAAAATGTTATGTGATAATACAAAGGACATGAACCACTGTACTAATACAACACAATGAAGTATCCAGCTATACCATCTGCCTTTTATCCCCAAGACTGTATCAGAAGGTTCTTGTGTTTTAGCAACTCTCTGTTGAGAGAGTTTGTGACTGTCCAGACTGTTTGTGACTGTCCAGCAGGCACAAATCCCTGCGACTGTGAAAATAGCAGAGTGAGAGACTGGTTAATCTGGTGAGCCAAGCTATTAACTGTCATTGATCTGTCAAACACATTTACATCTCCTAAATTATTAGCTATAAAAGATTATCAGTTCAGATCTTGCCAAGCTACTGCTAGCAGAGGTCTGAATTGTGTGCTTAGGGAGAAGAGAGGAACGATGGCTCACAGGGTATATAATGTGGGCAGTCATGCATGCAGGTGCATATTTTAGTTGAGTGAAGTTAAACAGGCATTCGCCTTTTGTGTTTTAACTGGCAAAAGAAAATATGCAGGACTCTTCCTCTGAGAAAGGCAAAAGCAAATAATGGCAGTGCCAGGAAACAGGACAGAACTTTAAAGATTGTCTCCTGCACATTTACTTACCTGCACAATAGCTTACTGGTTAAAGTAAATAACCCCCCACCCCCCCTTTTGGAAATTCCCCTCTTGGTTCTGAAAATCAACTTCTTCCTCCCCTCTGGTGGATTTTTAAATGTTGGATTAGTGATGATGATAACTGCAAAGGCTAGAATCGGCGCTTAGGTTTCTTATCCTTCTGTAAAAATGTGCCCCAGTTGAATTTCCTTTTCCAGGCAGGCTTAATTGCATTCGAACTATGGCAGTTGCTTGAACCAAACGAGTAAGCAGAGAGGGGGAATCCTGTTTGTTAGGACTATGCAGGTTTTATAAAAGTGCAATAAAAGCATTTGTTCTCTTTTAGAATGAAATAGCTCCCTTCATTTTTTTGCTGTTTTTATGTCTTAAGACTCTTCTTGGCTGTAACATGAAGAAAGGGAAGCAACAAACCAAAAAAAAATCTGTGGACAAAATGATGCAGAAATGAGGAAGTTCCAAAACTGCCAGAACAGCGCAAGCGCTATCCTAACTCCTCCGTAGTCTCTTGTGAAGAAAGCGTAGCGCTTGGTAGCTCAGAGAGGTCTATCCTGCTGCTGCCAAGACAGCGTGTGGGGAATTTTATGTGCTTTAACATAAAAATAGATTAATTTAGGGCCTACAAACATTCAGTTGTGTTTGTTCCTCAGAGTTTATAATGCGTCAGCCCATCACTGATCAGCATCCAAGAAACCTGTCACAAAAGGTTTTGAATATACTAAAGTTTCCAACAGTGTCTTATCATGTTTGTAAACTGTAAAGTAGCCAGGTCATGTTACATCCTAGGGTTAAATACAACTAAATACAACAAGCATTTGTTGCTTGTCTGCTTTGCAGCTGACACTCTTGTTAGTTAATGCGTGCTATAACGCGAAGGCAAGTTGTAGTGTAACTGAGCCTCCCGTGTGTCCGTGCCTATCTCCAGTCCTCTGAAGTTAAATAAGGGTGGGACAGGCTGAGTTGCACTTTGAGTTATTCTGCTGTCTGGTTTTCTATCTAGGTGTTCTCTATTTCTGCTCAAGATTAAGTAGTGTACCTGAAGTTTCAGATTCTGCTTTGCTGTAAGTCAGCTAAAGGACACATATCTTGAACCCCTGCAGTGTCTGGAGATAATAGCCCATCTTTGAGATGGATCCAGGCACATGGGCCAAGTGTGGCGAGAAGTGATGGGAGGGGGG